TTGCCACCCCGAGAATGCTCATTTCAACAGCGGATACATCACTTAAAGGTGTCTTCCGTTTAGGCTGGCAGATCACCTTTTGACTTCTTAAAGAGAAAAAAAATCTTGCGTAAACTCCCAGCACTCTGCGTCTTACGGTCCCCAGCTCCCTGCCTGAGTGTCCTAATCACTCACGAGGTTGAGTCACTCAGAGACACGGGGCTGGTGCGCCGTGTGGACCCCACGCACATCCGTGAGCGCCCATTGGCGCTGAGGAGAAGCTGCAGACTGGGTTTTGCAAATAATCTCGCATCAGCTCAGCAACGTCGCCGTCTTCCCTGGGAAGCCATAGCTTTTCTCCCCGGGAACCCCATGAGCGTTTTTAGATTGTGGGATGGAGAGCAAAGAGACGTGAAAGCAAGGTCAGACCAAATCCTGGGGCACTAGGAGGGATGGACTTATCTCCAGCTGGAGGCATCTGCATCTTCTTTGAGTTGTTCATCTCACACATTTGCTCCTGTGCATTTAGCTGCTTCCCAATGCCCTTAGACCTATGGTCGTGTCCCTCGGTTGGCAGCTGTCCACGACAGGGCACGAGGACACAGTGGGCTAACAGGGTATGAAGCCGCAAGCAAGTCAACACAAGGGTAACTCAGTCAGCGTGCATCGTCTACCACCAAGGTCAGGAGCAAAAGCGAACGGCGGGAGAGTTGGTCGTGAAGAGAAGGATGCCTGGTGCCTTTTAAGTTTACTTTGTCAAGGTGCTCTGGCCAGCCGAGAGCCAGCTTTCCTGAATGACTGTGAAACTGTGCCATTGTCTCTGATCTCTGATGTGTGCCTTCCATGGTGAAACCAAGTATTCTATTCTTTTTATACTTTTATTCTCAAGTAGGTGAAGTGAGCATTTTTTTTTTTTTTTAAATCTGTTGTTGTAACCAGCTTGTTTTCTAAGAACCTGGGGATCTGTCTCCCAGAGCTGGGGCCTTCCTGGAGCCTGTCCTCAAACGGAGAAGTAGATGTCTAATGGCTTCCATGCAGAGGCCCTCTCTGCAGCTGGCTCCCAGCAACCCACAGAGTTAGGCCACCGGCCCCACACATGCCAATGAGGTAGCAGTGGGACTCAAGCTGCTCTTTGAGCACTGAGGGTCTCTATGAGAAGATTTAGTTATGTTCTCTGCTGGGTCGAGGGGAGGCTTAGCTCGGAAGGTTTGCCCCCGGCTGATTCTCATCACCACCGACAACCTTGTCTGAAATAGCAGGGCTGCGAGGCAGATGTGGTAAGGTGGAAAGGAACAAATACAAGGGATTTCAGGGAGTGAGATCACTTCCAGCTGGTGGGAATCCGTCCGCCACTGGTTGGCTCCCTCAGCAATTATTTAGCATTTTGTATGTGCTCGCCATGGAAAGATTCGAAGGCGCGCTCAAGCTCTGCCGCCCTGCCGTCCTGCTTCAGTTGAGAAACACCCCTGGTTTCGCTTCCCTGGGACAAAGGACTTCCTCACGGAGCCTCATTGTGCTGCCTAGCCCTAATGCGTGTAGTTTCCCCTCACCCTGTGGGTATTAGGTCAGGCTGAGATCACTAACTGACTCATAAATAAAATAAAATAAACTCCAGTTAGTTAACCATGGTATCTTAACCGTGTGTGAGCAAAAGCTTACAAAGGCTTAACTCTGTGAGTGTAGAGTGAGGGCTGTCAGGTTCTGTTTTGGTTTGTTTAGTACAGGGGTCTTGGTAGGTAACCTTGGCTGGCCTGGAACCTGCAACACAGACCAGGCTGGCCTTCCTCCTGCCCCTCAGGTCCTGGGATTACGTGCATGAGCCTCTTGAGAGCCCGCAGGTGATGCCAGTGTGTGCTGAGCACAGCTCCCATGTGGTTGCTGCGTGGACCATGAGGTCTACTTGATCTTGTGTTGGTACAAGTACTCTGTCTTACACGGTCTTTCTCTCTTTCCCCCTGAAGTGAAAGCAACAGTCTCCACACAGAGGATTGCAATGAGGGTCATGAACTTAGCAGGCTATGTACAATGGTCCTGTTGGTGTTTGTGGGCCATTATCGTTAACACTATTATAATCAGTGTTAGCACGGACACAACCAAATCGCCTACCTAGAGGAGCTGCTTTTAGTATAAGTTAACATAGAAACGATCTCTTGGATGTCCATGGTGTATCGCGTGTTCCATATCTATCATGCAGCCCTAAGGAAGAGAAGACTCTTGATGTCTGGGTTGGCAGCAGGTTGGCAGTATCTGCCCGCCCAGTAGCGTCTACTCTGCCCAGGTTTTCAGGGCAGATTAAGGACAGGGAATGCTGAGATAGCACGCATCACTTTCGTAGCCCTTTGGCGCCAGGAAATGCTGGCTGTCTTGTGGGAGTCACCTGGTAGCTTTCCTTTATAAGAGGGGAGAGTAACCAAGGTATTAGATGGTTGGCCTCAGGCCAAGCAGCTTTGATCTCAGGTGTGGAGCCTCAGGAGCCCAAGCCGGAGGCGAGAATATCATTGTTTCTAGTGGCCGGACATCTTATGGAAACACAGTATTACAGAGTCTGCCCATCGGTCACAAACACTTATTGAGATGTCAAAAGCAACAGGCTTTGCCACTCATTGAAAGAATGCAAGTAAGAATGAAGGAGATGTAATTACCTACGATTTTTGTATTGTAGTTTTGATTGCTAAGACTGTCTCTGGGTAACTTAAAAAAAAGATTTGTTTGTTTTTATGTGCATTGGTGTTTTGCCTGCATGTATATCTGTGAGAGAGTACCAGATCCTTTGTAACTGGACTCACAGACAGTTGTGAGCTGCCATGTGGGTGCTGGGAATTGAACCTGGGTCCTTTAGAAGAGCAGCCAGTGCTCTTAACTGTTGAGCCATCTCTCTAGTCCCTCCATGTAATATTTTGTTTTGTTTTGTTTGTTTGTGTGTGTGATTTTTAGAGGCAGGGTCTCTCTGTGTGGCCTTGGCTGTCCTGGACTCACTTTGTAGATGAGGCTAGCCTCAAACTCACAGGGATTTGCCTGCTTCTGCTTCCCTGCTGGGATTACAGTCGTGGGCCACCTCACCTGATGTAACATTTTAATGCTGTTTATTATAAATGTATTTTTTTTTCTCTTTAAACAATCTGGTTTTTGAGTATAATTCTTGAGTTTTTTTCTTTTGATTCCTTTTATTTTTCAATTATATTAGTGTACACTTTTTTTTTTCAGTGCTGAGATTTGAACCCAGGGCTTTGACATGCTAGGCAAGACTCTACACTACCATTATATTAAATTCTTTAAATTTTTATTTATGTAGGTATTATTGGTTTTTTGAGACAGGTTCTTCTGTGTAGTCTTGGCTGTCTTGGAAGTCACCCTGTAGACGAGGTTGGCTTTGAACTCAGATGCGGCTGCCTCTGCCTTTCAAGTGCTGGCACTAGAGGTGTACCGCCACAGCCTGGCCCAATTATGTTAATTTAAGTGAATGAAATTCTTTAAATCTTCCAGTGACTTTGGTGTCACCACAGAAATGCAAGTGTCCTTGGAGACCAGGATCTCGTGGAGCTGGAGTTAAAGATGGTTGTGAGCCACCATGTGGGCACTGAGCCATCTCTCCTCCCTCCCTCCTTTCTCTCCTTCCTATCTTCCTTCCTTCCTTTCTCCTATGTCTCTTCTTCCTTCCCTGCCCCTTCCTTTCACATTACCACTCACACGTCCTTTAGTTGACTCATTTAATATTCATGCAATGCCATGAGGTTCCTGTTTATTGTGAAGCCTGAGGCTGAGCTGCATGGCTAGTGACAGGGTTAGTATTCGGAACTGGGCAGTCTTATTCCAAACCCTGAACCCTGAGCTCTTCACTCTGTCAGCAGCCTTATTGGACACTACTCTCCTCTTCCTGGCTTCAGCGAAACTGTGCTCCCCATTCCCATTTGAATACCTTTACATAGTCAGTCCCCTGCCTTCTCCTCATTTCTGTGGTGGGTTCTACAGATGCTGAGTCCTGAAAGGCAGCTGCAGTGACATGGCTTGTTTAATGGTCGGAACGAAGGCTACTTAAACCTTAGGGGAGTAGGTAGGGATTTCGGGGTGAGCATACATCATTGGCCAGGGCCAGGGTGCTGGTGATGCCTCATTTGCATAAGTAAATATTCCAGGTGCTCCTGGACTTCACTTTATAAGGGAGATTTAACCTGGCTACAGGCTACATGGCCTCTTCTGGTGGGCAAAGGTGGGGCACTGTGCCGCAGGCCAGGCAGGCAGGGGTGGGAGCAGCCATCCTCCTCCTGCTAATCTCAGGGTGAGATTTCTGGGGTTTGGACATGCTTCGACCCACTCTTGCTCTTGGTGGGCTCCTCTGGTCCCACACACAGACTTTTCAGATTGGTTACAAATCTCTAAGACAGAACCAATAGGCTTTCCACAAAGGAGCATGGCTAGAGGCACCTGGCAAGCATGGCTCACAGAGCGAGAACTTACTCCTGCACCCTGAAATGCCCTGCTTTCATGACTCGTTCCTCTGTCCGCTCCTGTCACTGTTAGCTCGGCCCTCACCTGTGCAGGATTTCTGCTCTGTCCTGTATTGCAGTCTTTTCTGTCCTCCAACCCCACCGCATGCTAGCCTGCAGGCTCTTTAAAGCAATCACCTTTTAAAAACCTCCATTTTTACACTTCCTCCCTGGAAACGGTAGTTCGATTATTAATGGCTTGCTAAGCGGTGGCAGATCTTTCACTGTGTCAGAGTTGGGGTGAGTGACTGCTCTGTGAAACCAAGACAGGTCCTTGTTTTGCAGGGAACTCTGATCGTTTAAAGATGATAGGAAACACATTTCAACCTGAAACTGAACTTTCACCATCAGTGATCTCTGTAAAGTGACTATCATACACTGGCCAACATTAACTGTCCCGTATCTTTATTGCCAGGATAGGAAATAGTCCTGATAACCCAGGATTTGTGTTCTTGTTGAAGGTGAAAATCATTATCGGAGAACCCAAGAGGTGATATTTTCTGTTTGAGGGGGCGGGAGCGGGGGGGGGGGGGGGAAGGGAGGTCCCTAAAATGAGGTGAATAGGGACAAAGAGCCTCTGACTAATCACAGGAGTATGTCCCCTGAGGTGACACAGGCCAACAGCCAGGACCATCCTGTAGGAGCACCCAGAAGTTAAGACCCAGGCCTGAGACCCTGCTACATGCTCAGGTTAAGAAAAGTCCAGGGATGCAAGTTATTTTAGGAAACAACCCTCTCCCTCGAACTCATAGTGACTCATGAAAGGGGGGAAAGGTGGGGGACAGACGAGCCAATCAAGGGCGTCCAGCCTGGTGTCCTCTCCTTTAGATCAATCAAAGCTGTTTCCCCCAACTCCCATGTATAAAAATGGCAGCTGTCCTCTTGGCGCTCCATTTTCAGGTCCCCCTCATTCGATGAGAGCTTCTTCTTTCACTTGCGGAATGTCTCCACTCATTGGCTGTGACTCATTCTTGTCCCTGAGAGGCGAGGGCTGATCCCGGACCTCTGTAGCAATGGCTGTGTTGGCTTCTTCACCTGAGTGTGAAGGCCCCACCTGTGGCTGAGACGTTTAAAAGCTGAAGGGCACCAGCCTCCCTGGCCACTGACTTCTTTTGAACCTGGGCCACAGGCATTTCTGTCAGGAAAATGATGCCCGAAGCTGTAAAGGAGAGGTACGTGGAACAGGGAGTTCAAATCCAGTTTTCTGGGCTAGTGGAGTCAATCATAACTTTAAGTCAAAGTTGATTTTTACATTCTTTTAATTTTCCTTACACCAATGATACATACTCCTTTAAAATGTGTCTATGTATGTTAAAATAGTCTCCCGTAAGCAAAGCTTGTCACTTTAAATATGTATATTCCATCTAGCTTCTCTCTCTGTGTCGCCTTGGCTGTCTAGACTGTCCTCCAACTCACAGAGATCTACCTGCCTCCGCCTTCCCGGGAGTGCTGGGATTACAGGCGTGTGCACCAACCACACCCGGCTATGACTAATATTCTTGTAGTGAAAGGGAAAAAATTATCACTGAGCAGTGAGGCATTAGTGTTTTGGGGCATGCCACTAACTCCTCCTCTTCCTCCAGCGCCATCAGCATTACATTGTGCTGAGAATCAAACCCAGGACCTTCAGCATGCTAAGCTCATGAGGTGGTGTGCCATTCCAGCCCTCCGTCCATGCTGTCGATTAGAGCTGTGTAGCATTCTGAAGTTGGGATGTTTTTAATTAGTCCTCTATTGGCCTATCACAGTCACTCATCAGAGCATTCACTGCTAATCAGTGACTCTCAGCTCACCTGTTAGCTTTTGCTAATGATGCCCAACCAACCAGCCATTTGCTCTATGGCAGAATGCATGCCACCCTTTACTGTTGAACCTGCATAGACCAATGGGCAGCTGGCTGAATTTCTTGGGTTTTTGGCTGCTTGTGTTTCCAATGACCTCAGCCCACTTCTTAAACATCCCAAACATTTTCTTGTTGATATATGCAAGAGACTGTGTATGCTAAACAAGGAAGTTAGACCTGCAAAGGTCAAAGAGAGCAGACTGACTCCGAGTGATACAATGTTGAAGTGTTACATTAGCCATCAAATAATGCTGAGGAAACCTTGGGTCTCTCCTCCCCCAGCAGAAGAGATTTGCATGCCGAGGAACCTTGAGAAAACATGTACCCTGGCTATTAACTCTCTGAGAATGTAAGCAGTGAGAGCAGTGTCTTGACCACAGTGGTCATGTGTTTAGAGATGGGTAGGCAGTCAGATCAGCCCGGGGAAGCAGAGAGAGGCAACAGCGGGCTCTTAAACAGGCCACATCCCATCAACCCCCTCACCCACCGTTGGGCAGGCAGTGGGAGTGACTTCCAGGAAGGACATAGTAATGGATTGACCACGAGAGTGTGGAGAAGAAAGAAAAGAATAAACCAGTTCTCGTCCTGGATCTCAGACAGCAGGCTGAGGAACATTAAGACAAGTGTCCACAATCCTTGATTATATTTTTGAGAACCTAAAAATAGGCAAAATAGTTGAAGGCCTTTTAAAGACTTTAAAAATCAGTTAGGTGGTTTATTTTAGTCAGGGCCTGTGTGTGTCCATTACAGCTGGAATCTGATTATCATGCATACACTGCTAAAGAGAAAACCCAGAATAGAAGTTTTAAATAATACTGGGTCTTTATAATAAACTCTCACATTGTTCTTTTTGCTAGTGTTAGCTTTACTTATTTTCAAAATTCACATTTTGTCCGAGACAAATAAAAAAATTAGGTTGAGGCTTTATGGAGCTTCTGTTATTGTAGATTTGAGAGTTAGAAATTTATTTTAGACAGTATAATCCTCTTTTCCCTTAATCTATTTTTGAAGAGGAACTAGAATCAAAGAAAATAATCATTCATGATTGAAGAACTGTGAGTATAATATTATGGTCTTATTTTAACAGTAAAATTCCTTTGTATGTGGAAATCTTTTTTTTCTTTTTGAAAGATTTATCGATTTATTTTAATGTATATGAGTGCTCTGTTTTCACGAACACCTGAAGGGGGAATCAGAGCTCATTACAGATGGTTGTGAGCCACTAATTATGTGGTCACTGGGAACTGAATTCGGGGCCTGTGGAAGAGCAGCCAGTGCTCCTAACCGCTGAGCCATCTCTCCAGCCCATGTGTGGAAATCTTCAGTTGATCCTCTCCATTTGCTGTGGTGAAACAATGTATGTTCCCCCTTGGAGCTTGGGAGAAGTTTTGTTTACCGATAGGCAGGCTTTCCGCATTTGTGTTGTGGTCTCAGCCAAACATGAGGTTCTGTCACTTTTCGAAATTTAGAGTTTTTTAATTTGTTCAGATCACAAATGATTATGTGCCTGCTAGCTGAAGAGATGGCTCAATGGCGCACATTTGAATCTCCACCGCCCACGTAAAAGCCTGGTATAGCCCTGCATGCCGGTGACCCTAGCATTGCGTGGTGAAGACAGGCAGATGCTGAAGCTCATGGCCAGCCAGCCTGGCATCCACAGTGAGCTTCGGGTTCAGTGAGAAACCCTGTTCCAAATACGGTAGAGGGTAGCACCTGCTGTCTTCCTCCGGCCTCCTATTGTACTCACACACAGACACCTGTACACCTCACACAGACATAATTTTTGAAAAGACAGAGAAATATGTCTAAAAGTTGATTTTCTCCTCTCTCTGAAGTTCTCACTCTCACGGTCAATCAGTCTGAGTAGTGCTGGCTGATAACTATTGATAACCACATTCCCACAAACAGCCTTTTGTACTCAAAGCAAATTCTACATACTAGTCTGTTTTCTTTTCTTTCACAGCACTAGGGATTAAACCCAGGATCTCAAACATGGCTAGGGAAGTGGTCTGCCAGTGAACTCTACCCTCAATTCCAGGCTACAATTTTTTGAAATATAATAAAACATTGTAGACATTCTCTATGATTAAAAAAAAAAAAACACCTCAGTTATAGCACAAATGTTTCATATTCTGTAACTTATCTCCACATTCATACTGTTTCAAGTTTTCTTCTGCAACAGTAGCTCTGAGAACATGTTCTCCATGTGTGTATTTGAACATGCTAACACAGAGAAGCTTTTGTTTCTGTGTGTTGGTCCCTGCAGTGGTTATTGCTTTCCAAGAGCTGTAACAATTCACAGTCTCGCCGACACTATTTGAAACTTTGTTTTCCTACACTCTTGCCACACAATTCATTTTAGAAATACAAACTTGCTAATCTCCCTTTCCTGATTTGTTTCGAAGGATTCGGATTCCGTTATGGAACCGTTGTCATTATCTCTGCCTGAAGAAAAAAAAAAGACGCTCATTTGAATTGTTCATGCCTCATCTTTTTCTTAATTTTTTACATGTATATATGTTTGTCTTCTAGGACAAGAAAAGAAAAACTTGTGCCCAGTCTCACAAAGCTTGATTGTTCTGTGCTAAACTAAAATAAAACACTTAATTTCTATTTATAATAAAGCAAATAGAGACCTTTCAGTCCCGATTTTCTCCTTCTAAATGTTTATTATTTAAGACCTTGTCTCGGGAAATAAAAATGTTTTAATAGGAGGAACAGAAACTGACCAAGTACAAAGCTAGGAATACTTAAGGAGTCTTAAGTCTACAGAGCTAGTCTGGGCTACCACTTGAATCCAAAACTCTGGGGACAAAGGTTCTTTGAAACATTCGATGTAGGCTCCGCAGAAATTACACAGAGGAAAAAGTGAATCATACTGCTGCTGAAAGCCCCCGCCCTCCTTGCCCCTGCTTATTTTCCTGGGAGGTGAGACTAGATTCCACTTCCCCTGTCCTTGTACTCACTGAGTTCATTAAACAATTATTTGTATGGAACTCCAGCAGTACACTGGCTAATCAGAAACAGCTGTACAACTGTTTATACGACTAGGATAACTAAATCAATCAGCAAGATATTTTTGTGTTTGAGTAGGTCAGGCCAACACTGTGTTGTCCAGAATAACAGCGTTTTGTAACTAACCTTATACAGATGGGGGGAAAAAGAATCACTGGATAGCAGAAGTTGGAATTAAACATGAGAAAACACTGTGGGTCCTTGATGCTACCAGACTAAAGTGCTACTGTATCTTTAATGTTAATTACTGCTTAAAAGGCTAGGAAGATTCATAAAGGGACATTCTTCTCTCTTAGACTCTTCTCTAAGGGTTGGGTCCCCAGAGTAAGTCTGAATTGTCCTTGTCAATGTCCCCAAAAAGAGGTCTGTCCATTCTGCCAGACTTCCAGGACTGACACAAGTCCAGGGCCTCATGCTAAGACAACTTTGTAGACCAGGCAAGCTGACATGTCTGCTAGACCACATCAGGCATGGGGACATCTGTCTCCTAGGAACGCTGAGCCAGGGTTCTATTGTGGTGAAGAGAATTCCTCTGACCCATGTGTCCTTGCACAGCAGCTGGGTGCATGCACAGAATGTGGCCTTATTCCTGGGGCTTCAAGCGGTCAATCTGAACGGAGACTCCAGGTCTCTAAGGTGGAAGGCTTGATGATGGGAAATGTCCATGCTCAGGAGCTTCACCTGTGCTTCAGTTATGAAGAATCCTGGCCCCACAAGGTCACATACCAATCTGCCCCCACTAAGCAGATGGAGAGAGGGTGCCTGGTTGACACTGAGGTGGCACTAACCTTAGGAGGAGCTGTGTTGGGTTTTAGCCAGCGAGTTGTGTAGGGAAAGACCTTTCCACCTACTTCCTCTTGCTATAGAACACAATCAAACACCGAAATGTGCAAACCTTGCCTTCTCTGGGGGCCTCTATGCTGGTACCTAATGGCAGCTGTTCTCTTTGCCCCTCTGCTTCCGGTCCTGGACTCCCACCAATAACCAGAGATAGTGGAGACCCTGGACATTGGTGCTCTTCTCAGATTTAAGACTCAATTTTCAACCGGCTCAGCGACACAGTCCCATTCATACCCTCTGTCAAAGGTGGCACTGGAAGGAACAGGGCAGTAGAAGAAGAACACAAATGCTCTCACCTTTCTTGCAGGAGAGTCAGACCAACTTGACAGTGATGCATCGCTATGCAGGAGAGTCCAAGGATCTGTAGGTCTCTCTGGTGGAACAGACTCCTCAGGAACAATCCTGAGTGGGTACTCTTAACTGTCAGTCAGATCTGAGGAGCGTGGAATTTGGCTGTGCCTTTTTTTTTTTTTTTTTTTGGTTAAGTAATAAATAAGGGAAAGAAACAATTTCTCACTGAGCGAAGATAATATATGTGTAACATGTAACGACCAAGTTAGATTTTAGCAACTTAGACATCTTCATTTATGCTGTATGTGCTGAAGAAGAGACATAAACTGGAACCATGATCTTCCTACAATACAAGGAGGCTTTTGAGTAATATTACTTTTCTAATACTTAATAGCTGTATTATATTGTTGTACACTATAGGCTATAATAATATTACTTCCTTTTGAGATGGGGTCTCTGTCACCCTGTCTGACCTGGAACTTCCTATGTAGACCAGACTTGGCCTTGAACTCACAGAGATTCTCCCGCCTCGGCCTCCCCAAACGCTGGGATTAAAGGTATGTGCCACTATGCTTGGCCCATAATAATACTTTTTAGTAGTATTACTGGTAGAGATGAGGCTTGACCTAAAGGCACGGAAGATTTTGTATTACATACAGTAAGAATCAAAACCCCACTCACTAGGCCTACACACATCCTTCATTACCTACCTTTGCTTGCACACGAACATTCAACCCGAACCCGTCTTCCTCACCATGTGTGTGCACCTTCTCATGCGGACTATCGCTCTAGGAAGTATTTCAGCTCTGACCAGGAAGCGCCGACCCCATACTTCCTTGGTCAAGCCCGTGCATTGCTGCGGGTCTCTCTTCTGTATGTAAAGGCATCGCTTCCTGATGAGCCCTCTGAAGTGAGTGTCCCAGGGCAAACCTCACAGGCAGGGCCTGCGTGCGCCGGATGTTTGCCATGGGCAGCACCGTGGAGTCTGGCCTGCGGTTGGTGGCCCGTGGCCTGCTCAGCTCAGACAGCCAGTGAGAACTGATCGCTGAGCTTGAAATCGCGAGACTGGTGCTGGCGGCACAGGGCTTCCGGTTGCGCGGGGGAAGGTTCCAGCTCAGCACACTGATGTGTGCTTCCCCTGGAATCTCAGATGCCAGAGAGAGAGAGAGAGAGAGAGAGAGAGAGAGAGAGAGAGAGAGAG